AAAATTTAGATCCTTTAATTGTATGTTAGTAGTGAGGCTCTCATCCAAGCTGGACATCTGTGATCAAGACTGGTATCTTGAGTTTGACCTTCCTCAGTTTTATGTGTATAATACAATTTTATTACATAGTCACCAGTTTCTCATGAGTATGGATTCTGTTCCCTGATTGCTCTCATTCACAAGATGACACTTGTTGAGATCTAAGTAGATCAACTGATATCTTTATCATTCTCTGCAAACAAATATTTTTCTTTTACTATGCAATGGATTCCAGTGTTAACTTCAGTCTTAGTTAAGGGAATCTCTGTGATTTTTCCTATATCTAGCAAAATCCTAGGAAACATTAATGTATTTGTGTCTGTGTAGAACTGTTTATTCTTCTACTATAGCTCATAGTGAGTTATGAATTATTGGTGATTTGTTTCTTTACTCTTTGAAGACAGTAACTGTCTGGTTCACAACCTGGCATGGTTCTGGGGTTCTATTAGGTATTCAGTTGATGCTTAATGACTGCTTCATTGAGTAATGAGTCTTTATATAACATAATAGTTTAAAAAATTCAAGAAACACTAAATTCATTCAATTTCCTTTATTGAGTATTTGTAATAAAAAAAGAGGTATAAAGTCTTGTTCCCAAGTCCAAACCACTTATTAATTTAAACCTTGAGTTTTCTGATTACCCAATTTGAAGTCATTCTTTTTATAACTGAAAAAATTGTTTTATTGAAAATTTGAGATAAAAATATGTATTGAAAAAAGCATATGGCAAACATTTCAAGAGTACAAAATTAGTTGTAGAAATAACATAATTTACTGGTAATCCCACATTGTATTAGAAATGTGTGAAGTTTTTTGACATAAAAGTTTTGTTTGCTTGTTTTTTTAGTACTGAGCACCCAGTTTTATAGCTTAGCTTCCGATGAAGAGGTACCTGCTCGCATACATTTTATCTATCTCTTAGATTCAAGGCTTAATCTTCTCAATGGAATGGGAGACTTGAATTTTGATAACTCAGGTGACAAGAATCTTCTTTGATGGATTCCAAAGTTAGCTAGAATTTTTAATGTCAGTATGTAAAAGCCTGTATGTAAGGTGTTCTATTTCCTTCAGTTCCTATCCCACAGCAGACTAACCCCCACAATTTCCTTCATGTTTCTCATTCAGAGAAAAAAAAGATGAAAATTGTATTCAGAATTTTTCTGTGTTTGCTTTTTTTGTGCTGGTGTTTCTTTTCCTGAAGTCAGTGTGGCTCTCATAATTTTTGCTTAGCATCAGGTTATTGATTTAGGGTGGTATAAATTTTGCTGTCTGGTTGCTAGATTTTCACTGAGAACGACCTTCTCTGGATCGTCTTCTAGATCCTGATAGGAAGAAAGAAGAACACATAGATTGTAAATGTGATGAAACTTTAGAATTTAACAATATGATATCCTATGCATGACTATATCTATAAAGACCATCATTACTTACTGTATTAAACATTAGATTCTGTTTTCTTAATATCCTGTTTATGGTGATGAAATCAAGGTTATCTTTTGATTAAAAGTGTATGAGAATAATAATTTGAAGTTTGATTTTAGTTCTTTAGAAAACTTGGATGAATAGGATGTTTAGAAGAAATCCCTGATAAAACCTTCAATTAAAAAGTATTTGTATAATTGATTCTTTAATTTCAATTGTCTATGTTGAGTTGATTTAAAATCAGATATACCTATAATGCATTTACAATCCTTGCAATTTCTTTTGACTATTAATATGTAATTATTTTAGAAAGTCCAATCTTGGAATTTGTTTGAAGTTCCACATGGAAAATCTGTCATTGTTTAATCTATTAGAATGCAAGAGAACCTGAGTGAAAGATTAGGAAATGCATATAAATATAGTTATGAAGAAAACTGTAGTGCATGGGTAATATATGCATGTGTATAATCTACACATTATATCAAAATTTTGTAGAAAGTTATATTAATAACTTTCTATATGTGTATAGTTTTATTTTTTTAATGTTTATTTTTGAGAGAGAGATAGAGCATGAGTGGGGGAGGGGCAGAGAGAGAGGGAGACACAGAATCTGAAGCAGGCTCCAGGCTCAGAGCTGTCAGCACAGAGCCTGATGTGGGGCGGGAACCCACTAATGATTACTAACGTTTAATTTTACTAATGTTTCAAACTGTAGCCTGATCTCTAACATTTTTAGAGAATTCAGGTTCACCAGCAACCAACTTTTGCTTGGCTCATATTCAAGGATTTCTTTTCAACTTAACTCTACTTGAATCTACTTTAGTGGTTTCAAAAATCTAGCACTTTACTTGAGTATGATTGCCTTTCCTTTAACATTTGTTATCCTTACATCTTACTGATAGTGTAGAACATGAATAAGTTATTTTCTGATTTTTATCAGCAAAATACTTTGCCTCAAAATTTGCTAACTTGTCTCCCTGAAAGACAACAAGATCCAATAAAATATATTAAAACATTACCCTTTGGATGTATCTCCTATGCACAGTACTATCAATACATTTACCTTGAACTCTTTTGTTGGCTTGTATCTTCCTCACAGGTGTGTCTAAAATTAAATAGTTGTAGTTAGAAATACTTTCAAGTTATGGCTAACATAGACAGGAGACCATAATTAAAGAAAAGTATAAAGTTTAAAATAAGCATCACTTAAACGTGTAGTTTTTTTTGGAATCATGAGACTTTTTCATTAGCTACAGACAGGCATTTGTTGTCCACTGATGAGAACGAATGTTCACTGTTTGCAAAACATTGTTTCATTATGGCATTTGGAGCCCCATACAATGTGTCATTTTTCCATAGAGTAAGTGACTTACATGACTTTTTCACCTTTTTTATAAAAAGCATTGCTTTATGATGAAGGAATATTTAATATTATATACAGTGTAACAGAAGTGTCTTCCCAGAGATATTGAGTCATTTTTCCAGTCATTCCTATTTGTGATGTATCAGACTTCTGCCTCTGAAATTCTCATTGTAAATTAATTCACAATTACCTTATAGAACACCAGGACAACAAGATAGCATTGGCCTAATAACTCTAGAAATATAATATTAACCAACTTAGGAAATGTGTGCCAACATACTCCCAAGTTTAATTCCAATCCTGTAAGACCATTTATAAAATTAACTAGTTAAAAATAATAAAAGCTTTCATATTTAAGATTTTAAAGTGTTTCGTAACTATACAGTTTTTTTGTTGTTATAGTTGCATAATACTTCCCAATTCCTTGTTTTTCTTTAACTCCTCAACAAGACCCCCTGGTAGGTCCAAATTCACATTTTCACTCTGCTATTGGATGCTTAAGATCAAGGTTAAATGTGGTTTCTACAGTGACTTCATTTCTCTGCTTACCTTGTAAAAATTTTTTCTATACATTTCTTGCTTTTATATATTATTTATACCCAATAATCAGGTCAAAATATTTCTATTTTATATATATATATATTTTTTTTTCAATTCTCTGAAATTCCATTAAAAAGTAAAGCAAGAAACTGTCACCAACAGTTAAGTAAGAAAGAAACATTTTAAAAATGTTTGAATAATTTTGTTTCTACATGGCACATTTCCAACATGGTTTATTTCCCACGGAATATAAGATGTGTAATCACTTATGATACGTTGTTAATAGAGTAAAATAGAATACAGAACTGTAGAAAACCTCATTAGATTCGATATTGAGTCTAAGTTTTTTTGAGATAGAAAAGTCTGAATTATGGACTATGGTCCAATTGATATATTTCCATTAACTTCAGGCTTATTTGGTAACAAAATAAGGGCTTATAAAATATAGTCAAGAAGAGATGGATCCAGTCTTTAATTAGTGAATAAGACCATTGTTTGTAATGGACTTGTTAAACTCCAAATAACAGTTACTGTATAATTTAAAGCAAGCTCACAGAAGTATTCGCAGCATTACGTTTCAAAACAAGTACTTACACTCAGATTTTCTTTCATATACTTGGCAGCATCCAATTAAGTAATTAATTTGTTACTAGTTTGCTATGATAATATTAAAATAAAAGTATTAATTGTTTGCAAAAAAAAATCTTTAGGAGAAAGTCTAATAAAGTGTAGAAAACCAGATTTGTTCCCAGTGGCTTTCTGCTATCTCAATATGAATGAAAGTGGGATCAAGTCATATGCTTAGAGAAGCAAAATGTGGGAGAATAAACCAATCATATGAATGATCCCACATGAAGGCCCCTCCCTACCATGTTTTATGAAACACGCAAAGTGCTTCAGTCCAATTATTTATAGGATTTTTGCATATTTACCACGGGTATGACTCTCAGAAATTTAAGTTAGGTGTAAAATATTACTTCATTACATTTATACTATATAAGTGTAATGTGTTAATATAGTTGGCCATGATATTTACAGTAGCTAGCGTTACTGGGAGCTTGTGTTTACTGAGCATTATTCCAAGTGCTTTTCATACATTAACTCATTTATATGTAAGTGACATTACTATCCTCATTTTCAGATGAAGAATCAACTTAAGTTAGTTTGAGTTGGAGCCTAGATCAAAAGCCAGACCTGCAAGCTGATCCCTATTCTGTACACAGGCTTTACATGTTATATTGGCAGATTTCTCAAAACCATCCAAAATGACTTGTTTTTTGTTCCTTCCTCTATAGCTTGATATTCTCCCTTAATTACTTTGGTAGTTTTAGTAAATGTAATTTTATCTAAGATAAGTGTGAAACTTCTATGCATTTCATGAGAACATTTTTTAGTTGGGGGCTTGGATGTACTTCAATGATAAATCACAATATTGAAACCAAAAGGGCCACTGAGCCATGTTTCTAGTCATGACTAGAATAATTGAGGAATATACTCAATTCATCAAAATGTACTACATGTATCACTATAAGCAGTCTAGATAGAAAACTCCAAGCTTTCATATGAAGACTACAGTTTGGATAGAGATCAATTATCTATACTATGAAAGAACAAAAACAAGCCTTGCGTGATGTACTCTTTATTCACAGCAGCTTCTTTGGAAATAGGTATCTCAGATTCTGGACACTTATAACTCAGTGATGACGCATTGGTTTTACAGGGCTAGGAAAAAAAAATACTAGCATGTCTAGTTAGTTTCCAGATACTAGTAACTATGCTTCTTATGTTGTCTTTCTTATGAGAAGAAAAGCCTTAGAAATGTTTTTTTAAAATTTGTGATGTGGCATTGTGGAAATTAATGCTTTATAGATATGTAGAGAAACCAAATATTGAGAACTAAAGGAATCAACCTTTGGGATAAAAGAAACAGGAGTTAAAGAAAGATTTCCTTAACTAAAATTAGAATATCATATTCTTGTAGCAGGTATATTTTCTTTTGCCTGAAGTTATTGTTATGTACTTAGTTCGCTGTCTATAATCGACTTGTTAACTGGGGGTTATTAAAGGTGAAGAAAACATACTTACCTGAAGTTTAAGACTAAATAAAGCAAAGCAATGTATATATAGGTGCAGCTACTAATTGATTCATTCTCTAAAAAGCACTGCCATTCTACAAAGCTGCTTACTATGGCAAGGACTTAACCAAAAAAAAAAAGAATTCAATTTAACCTTCATAATATCTTCACCACTTCCCTCAAATCCTTGTTTTCCTAGCTGACAGTTAAACATTTGTGGGTAGATGAGTAAATTCTGTATTAGATCATACAGAAAACCTTGATTCTATTACGGCTTTGGCTGTGTCACACTCTCCCTACAGTCTGAACGGAAATCTTGTATTTTTCAGACACATATTTTTCTATTGAGGGGAAATTTAATCATTGGTTAAATAAAAATTATTTATTTTTACTATCGCTGAAGGGTCTCAACACTGTACATAAGAGATTTTACCTATATAAAATAAAGAATAAAGAAACAATTGCTTAAAATATGTGTGGTCCCAAAAGAATTTACATCTTCTTGGACATAGTGATAACAAATTAAGCAGAAAAACCATCTTGGACAATACTTTGGAGAAATACCAAGTTTCAGTTGTGTTTCTCAGATATTTCAAGAAGTATTTTTGATTTTTGTAAATAATTTATATGCTTCTTTAAAACAATTTGTCATCTAAATACTTTCGTTTTTAATAAAATGAACTAGAAATTCATTTATTCAAATGCCAATTTCCCAAATAATATTTCATTAGTATTTACTATTTCTTTGAATAATTACCATTTAGAGTTTGCATAAGATTTTGAATTCTTTTTTTCTCCTTTGCTTTTAAAAGTAGGTCCTTTTAATGCCATAGACAGAGAACATTCATACTTTAAAGATTAATTTCATATGCAAAATAATTTACATCTCCAGGTATAGATTATCACTCAAACTGTTAGAAGAAACAGATATTCATTCTCAAGAATGCAGTTTGGAAAAGAAAATTGCTAAATGCACTGTTTTGTTTTTATTTCTAGATCTATGCACTTAAAAAATCTATAAACATGCTTTTTATTATTGTTGTGGGGGCAGTGAATACGTTTTTTTAAATATAAAAAGTATGTCAATTTAGACTTCTTTAAACAACTACCAATTTAAAAAGTATTCTTCTTTCAGATACTTAAAATATCCTTACAATTATCTGTATCAAAGAAAAAAAATATTCATTGCTCCCCAAGTTTATACCATACAACTTTTTAAAGACCGTTTCAACTAGTAATCATTTCTTCATTATTATTACTTAAACTTCTATTGAACTGATCAGTCTCTTACGACAATGTAGATGTTTTCTTTTTCAACCTTATGAAAAGAAAAACCTGAATGTTCAGTCTTTAAAAAGTTGAAGAATTCAGTCACCAGAACCTGTTAGGCGGGTTAGTGGTTTTCCTTTTACTAACCTCCCTGAAGCAGTCTTTTAATTTCTTCATCTTCAAATAAATGACCATCACCTCCTTCAATGAATTTGGTGACCTTGGTGACCTCTGAGAGGATACATGTTTATAGCAGAAATTGGTTTATGTAATAGAAACACAGGAGACTTGATGTGATACATAATGGCATCTGGCAAACAATGAATTCCAGACCAACACTTGGTTCTTTTTCTATCTTTAGTGTTGGTTTTTGATAAGTCAGTTTTCTTATAAGGCTATTGAACAATATATCACAAAACAATCAATACAACCCAATGTCATTTGGATTTCATTCTCTGTCTTTGGGCTTTTTATCACATGCTGGCATGGAACTTGAATGAAAGAATGAGATAGAGTAGAAAACCTGTAAAAGGGCTCAAAGATTATCTTAGACTGAAACAGGTAGCTCAGGTCAAGTCACATTTTAATTTTTCTACACCTTATTGCAATATTTATTGCTGACCTTCCTGCAATAATTTCTTCAGTGTTTCTTCTGTTTCTCCACCACCAGTGGAAATCCTAGTGTATTTTATTTCAGGACCTGAAAGAAAGAAATTTTTTTTTTTTTTTTAAAAAGGTGTAAAACAGCAATGGGCAAACTTCCTACCGAAAGGGCCAGATAGGAAGTATTTTAGACTTTGTAGGCCATATGGCTCGTGGTGCAGCTATTCACATTGCCATTGTAGTGTGAAAATAGTTACACACGTTATACGAAGGACTGATCACACTGGGTTCCAAACAGAACTTTACATAAGTAGGTGGCGCAAGCCATAGTTGCTGACTGCGCATTTAAACAAATACTGAAAACATGGCTGAATTCAGAATTTTAGGCTAATTCATTGGTGGGAGGCTAATTCATTAGTGGTTTGCTAAACTGATCAGTTGCCTTATACAAACTTGTGTATATTTCAGTATGTAGATGTGTAATAAACCTTAAGCTAAATGGAAAATCAAAGGAGGGAATCATTTTTCTTCTAGGATTTACTAACTCATTACAAATAGCAAGGGGAAAATGTTATGTCACATGTATGAATATGTATAATAAAAACACATGCTTACAGATTAGTCCACAAATTCCAATTCAGAGAAAAACACAGATTAAATAGTTAGGATAATATTGCTGTCGAAAAATGATGTATCTTCAGTAACCACCATGAAAATGACTTAGTCAATTTCTCTAGTGATTCTTATAGAGACAGAGCTTTTTTTAAGATTTACTATGGTTTTATCTTTATAATTCAAGCATAGTTCCATGTATGGAATCAAAGATTACCTGTAATGATTCGTTCTTCTCTTGTCTCTTTTTCGGTTATTTCCACAGGCACTCCATCAATGATTTTAGTGTATTTTTTAATAATTGGCTCTAAAAGTAGGGGAAGAAAAATGCATATGGTATATCCCCTTATGATGCCTAAACTGCCAAATGTAGACATTTTCATTATTAAATATATTTCTCAAAGCCATACCATTTAGAATTCAAACATAATCATTTGGGGGACATATCTTAAATAGGTTTAGATCAACAAATGTCTAAAAAGCGTAGTAGTTATGTCCTGAATCTTGGGTGAGGGAGAGAGCTAACTCTCCATGCCATACTTATTTTCTGACAATGGAGTGAGTGTTTAGTAAGAATCCAGGGAATTATACATCATTAGAGTGGGAACCCTGCTGGAGACTCCCAGCAGTGACTGATTAGTCAACCTTATACAATGGTCATTTTTTCTTCTAAATCCAATAGATCACTTTGTATTGACATTATTATTATCATTATATTGCATAATCATCACCTGCATATGCATGATATGCATATGTTGGACCTGGTGGCTTAATGGTTAAATTAACTCCAATTTGTTACATTGGCTTAATTTCATTAAAGGTAAATTGTATTTTATTTGTAAGTGAGAAAAATATTCCCACAATTTATATAAAAAGAAAGCCAAGAGAAAACATCAGATGTTCAATATATTTAACCAACACTATTTCAAAATGATCACAGTGATCCTAACTAGGCTTTAGGAAATACACATAACGCACCTCCATGGATCACTTCAGTTACTGTTTCACCTTCTTTAATCAGTCTGAGCTCAGGTTCACCTTCAATTTTGACCTTTGTTATTGTGGGTCCTGAGGTATTGTTTTAGGAGACAAATTATCATGTTAAGGCAGTTCTTTAACTTTGACAGAACAGGAAATTTGTTTTAACACTTGGTGTTATTCAAACATCGAAGTGGTTTCAGGTTCCATGAAATCAATTTTAAACATTTCCCATTGTCTTCAAATTAAGCAGTATTTATGAGACCAAATGACTCAGTCTATTGGTGTGCTACTACAATTACTTTCATGATTCATGTTTTAGCATTTAGCATAAGTTCATCCATTCATTTGCAGTTGTGAAGGAGAATCACAGAAGGTATTATATGTCGCTGTACTTTGTGAATTATACAGTATGTACAAATTTAAGTTGCTCTAATGATAAGTAATTTAGATCTTACTTTACTATGCTGATATCATCTATAACTTTCATTAAATTTTTAAATTTAATTTTTAGTTACTCAATACTGTACACTTTTTATCAAATGTGCATAAGACTGAACATTTAAAAAAACCTCAACCTTTGGTACATATATTTAAGACACCAAATTTCAGATTTTCTGGGAAAATGAATTTGAGTACTTACCTTATATATGAAAATTATTTATTGATTAATAATTACTAATTATTTTAATAATTAATATACTAATTAATAATAAAACAGTCCTTCAAATGCAGAAGTTAAACAAATGTTGCATTTGACTTACAAAATGATTTTGCTCCCAGAGAAAATCATTTTGAATGTTAGAAAGCTGATTACTACATTAGTTGACCAAGACTATTTTATAGAGAAGAAAAGTAAAGTTCAGTACATTTAACTCATACTGTAACACCCTTCAGCAGTTGAATGTCACTATATTTGCTTATCCTTGAGAGGCTTTATTTGTTTGTCCAGAAATTTTCAATGTTACACCATTACCCAGAGTTAGTCTAAAACAATCTAAAATAATGAAGGTAATTGTTCATTCAAATAATAAATGAATGATATCATAATATTTGATCTGTGGGACCAAGGGATATTGAGTATCAAGTGTAAGTCCAGGTTTTTAAGGTGTAGAAATTTCAAAAGGAAAATACACCTAAGGAATTTAAGAACAGAAATGAGTTAATAAAACATCCAAATCAACATTTCTTTTGGAAAAGCCTAAAGTGAAATTTCAAAAACACCCTCTATCATGATGCTCTATGAAGGTAGGGATTTTTATCAAATCTTTTTTTTTTTTTCACATTTACTGCCAGCACTTAGGAGAATGCCTAGCACTATAATAAGATTCTCAGTAAGTGTTTGTTGAAATGAATTTCAGTTGATTTATTCTTAATTCTATAATTGGTTAAGTACCCTTTATAAGAAATACTTTAAATTGTATTTTGGAGTCTAGTATATACTCAGTAAGAATTCAGGAGTCATTAATGAACCTGCAAAAGTTCAGTGATAGGGAAATGCCAGTAGCAATGTTAGAGCTGGACAATTGTGAATGGCTGTCAAGATAATTACGTGTTTCCTTCAGTATGTTACACAGACATAAAACTTCTGAATCTTTGAACTTAAAAATTTTTAATACGTCGGTGACATGACCCCATTTGTCATCCTTGTTCCCTTTCTAGGAAGAACCCAGGTAGAGTTGATGCTCCACTGGGTGCCTAATTCAAGAAAGATTAATACAATAGAATCCCACTGGCAAAAATCGGGAAGATAAATGGGTTGAAGAAGCTTGAAAGAAAAGATAGGAATCTTTGGAAATAAGAAAAACACATGTGAATGATTTTGATTATAGAAGCTGTGTACAAGTGATTATATAAATTTTTAGGGAATCTAATTTTAAAAAGAGTATAAGAATGTTAAAATCAAATGTATTACCAAGCATTATTTGATAATTTTCATGAAGATGATCAAGAAAAATTTCTCAACAAAAATTTAAGTGATTTAATTTCTTAAGACACCAAATTCTCATCAAAATATAAAAGAAGTCAAATGACCATAGGTGTAGTATTTTTTTAGTAAGCACAAATTTCAAAGCCTACATCAATTATCAAATTTAGGTCTCAAGAATAAAAATATAGATAATTAATTAGCTAGGAAATAAACTTTTCTACGTATGTTTCCAATATTTAAATGTAAATCATGGCCTGCCTTTAAAGGAACAGACAAAAATATTCAAGAAATTGCCATCTCAATTTACAGAATGAGAAGAAATATCAAAAATAATCAAAGTTATATCAAATAATCAAAAATAATTAAAGTAATAGTTTTTTTGACATTCAATTGAGAACATGATTTATTCTTTTTTTTGAAGATTGTTTCTATCCTTCTTAAAAATAAAGGAGAAATCCTGGTCTTTTCACTGTGGTAAGTCACCACATTAAGATGCTTAGACATAAAAATAAAAAGTTCTTACGGTCTGACCCTTGGTAATAATTAAAATGCATGAAATAAAGGTGGCATCAAAAATGTTGGAGTTGACTAACAGACAGTGACAGTAGAAAGAAAACTATTTAATATTGTAGTCTGAAATACCAGAAGGAAAATAAATATACCAATTGATATATATTATATATGTGTATATAAGAATATGTGTATTCTCAATATGTAAGTTCAGGACTGCAATTAAGAATACTTATTTCTTTTTGACTTAATGCACCAGCTGCTTATTCCTTCATCTGTTTCTGGTGGTCTGATTTAAAAATATATCATATGCGGTTATTATTTTAAAAGTTTTCATCAATGTACAGCTTCAATGCTCTCTTAGATGGTTGAATGAAAAATGCCTGTATTTTTGGAAGAGCTTCTTATAACAAGATATCCGTGTGGGGAGATTGGAGATAAAGCTACAAAATAGTACACTGAAGGAGTCTAATTGTGGTATAAAATAAAGCTCGGATTTATTTGTTTATTTGTTTACTTATGTATTTATCTGGGTTCTAGTGCTAATGCCATGGCCAATTAGGTTGAAATGAAATCAAGTACAAGCAAATGTACTGAAAGTATTAGGAATGCACCATCTACTCTGCTAAATAATTTGCATTCCGCATTCTGCAATCACATGAGCATGCCACTGATATAGAAATATTTAGCATGTTAGTTTCAAAAAGAATGTAGATACATTCATAGAAATCAGTCTATTACTTGGACTTTTTTCCACAAAGAAGGAACCATGTATAACAGTTGATTTTACCTTCAGTTTTGATAATAGGCTGAAGACTGCCTTCAATCACTTTAATTTTTGGTTCCACAACTTTGGTTATAATTTTAGTTGCTGCAAGTATAGAAAGTGGAACAGAAATGATGTTTACATAAAAACAACCTGAATAAAATTGTCCTCTCTCTCTCTGTTTTAATCTTTGCTGGGTACTGAGGTATAAGGGGTGGTAATGTGTTCAGGCAGTCAGGTCCAGTAAATATTCATGGTACATTATCTATCGTCTTCTCATGTCCAGATGGTGTACTCTGAAGTCCAGACACATGGATTTGTTCCAGTGAAATATATACACACTAAGTGAGGAATTCTATCTAGAGACCTGTAATTTTGAACTGCAACACTAAAACTCTTTACCTTCTTTAGTACTTCTTGAAAATATTGGCTGCATAGCAACAGAAGACAAATAAACATGATTAATTTCATGCGATTCATAATATCTTCAATTGCATTGTTGGGTTTTTTTTCTCATAAGAAAAAATGAAAGACAAAGACAAAATATTTTTCATGCATTTGATAACAGTGATATAGAGAGGAAAATATGAAAAAATAGTTCAAAATAATTAAAAGTAAAAATAAATTTCAACCAGCCAAATATGAGCTCTATGCAACAAATATGATATGATCAGTATTTAAATTATAGGCTAAAATGTTTAGTTTTCAGCCTTAATATCATCATCATTTTTTTAAAACTTAGAAGTATGTATTTGAAATGTGCCATCCATCCAACTCGGAAAATAATATGCAAAATATATTTAAAATAGCAGCAAACTATTTGGTTGACTTTTTTTTTTTTTTTTTTTTTTT